AAAAGATGCTGATATTGCGCAAAATAATAGAAATAACTTGTATAAGATTGAGTTTTTGTTTAATAAACATAACGTTCAAGCTTGATGTGTTTATCATGATAACTAAATAGAAAAGAAAGGCCTATATCCAATGGTATTAGAGGATTTATTTAATAAAAAGCTGAAGCTTAAAGCACATCTGACCTTATTAGAAAAGAAAAAAAGCTTTGAGAAGATGATAAATTTAATTAAAGAAAGAGGCAAAAGGATTCTGAAAAGCTTAAATTTAGAATACTCATCTGTATACTTTAAATATGATTATTTGAATTCAAAGCAAAAAGCTTTAAAGGTATATATAAACACTTTTTATAGAGAAGCAGAGAACTCAAAATCTCTAATCTTTTTTTGTGAATTAACCTGTGAAACTACTACAGCAGGAAAATACAATCTTAATCTTATCACAGAATTTGTATCAAAAAAAGGATTTGAGATAAAATATAAAGATATCGATTCTTTGTATCTCACCTATCCAGATAGGTATTACGAGAAATGTGATGAAATCTTCTTCAGAAAAGAACTTTACAAAAAAAGCATATTAGGTTAAAATAGTCAAAATTATTATGAATGTGATGAAAAAGTTACGCAATCAAGTAAATGCTTATCTTAGGATAAAAAGTAGAATATTTTATTTATAGATGACATACGAAGAGGTATTATTTCTTGTCTGCTTTACTGGTGAAAAGAAATACTTTAGGGTTGAGTATAAAGAAGTAGTAAACTTTAAACTGAAAAAACTTTTCATGAAAGAGATAGATACTGTAAAGCAAGGTAAATTCCAACTTCTCAAATCATTGAAGAAAAGATTATGAGGGAGGCTATAAATATAAATAACATGCGTTCAATTCACGAAATTATTGAAAATACTCTTAGAGAAACACAAAACAAGAAATGGGATTTCAATAAATTTATTGTAATAGGAACATAGAAACCTAAGAAAAAAATCTTTGCAATAATCACTTTATAGGATATATGAGAGAGAGAAATGAGAGTATTCCTGATCCTAGTGAACACTTTAGCTATATTGTTGTAAAAAATCTGCCTCGCTATAATAAAGAGGATAAAAAGAAGCTATATAGAGTTAGCAATTTTATGGAGTATGCGGATATCGCAAAAGAGCAAAATATAGAAATAGATATTAATTATTACTTAGGAACAATAACAGCAATATGCACATGCTTTATCAATAAAGATGATAGGTTTTAACTGCTAGAATAATGCAGATCAAGGATTCAGATAAAAGGGAAAAGCAGATCAATACATATTTCCAAAAAGAGGCAAAAAAGTGCTTTGAAAAATATATTAAAAGCTTACAATAAACTTTATAAGTACTCTTAGCTGAAATTACCATATCTTTACTAGAATACTTGCAATATTATTTATGACTGCATATTTTTTTCATATAATAATACAGGCTAACTTCAATTTCTATATTTGATTTGGTCATAAGATGATCTCTTCTGACCTCCAATTATATAACCTAGCCTCAGATATGTTCAGAGATATAAATCGCTAGTCTGAATGTATCAATCATTTTTTTTTTCCATATATTCCATATTTTTTTTCCAACCACAATCCATATAATTGCAATCAGTAGTAAGATAAGTATAGAATATATTATTATTGGCATCAATAAGGAGCTCGCAATGATAGAGCAATTGCTGGTAAAAATATCACTTTTATACTACTTATAGAAAATATTTGAGAAGGATTAAAAATGAAAAGGATTTATTCAAGACCAAGTTATAATGAATCATTCATAGGTAGGGGTGGAGAATCTACTTTATTATCTTTCTTTAACGATAACTGGTTCTTGAGAGAGCTATTCTTCTCTATCAATTTTAATCATTCTAAAGATCGAATATCTAGCTTCTGTTTGAATATGCTATTTGATGATTTATTCCTTTTTTTATACATTCTATTGTATATTCTTTTGAATTAAAGTCCTAATTCACTCACTCCAATTTAAGTCTAAGAGAATTGATCTCTTTGGGATCATCCATTATAGATGTATTTATTTGAATCAGCTCTTCTACTACTCTTTCTACTACATTTGAATCATGGAGCACTTGTTCTAGTTCTAAGTTATCTAACTTACCTTTCAATTTATGTACTTTAGCTTCAAAAGAAAGGATCTTGGTTGATGAAGCTTTTTAGGCTAAAGTTGCCTCTCTCTTTAGTATTTTAATATTTGATTTAAGTGATTTGCTTTCGGTAATATATTTGGCTTCAAACTCATGTTGACTCTCAAAATAAGACTTTTGTTCAAAAATAAGTTAAGATCTAACTTTAGCACTGGACGCATTTAACTGGCTAATCTTATTTTCAATATTAGCATAGGTTCACTGAGACTCCTTTTTTCACTCTGAATACTCTGAATTTTCAGTCTACAACTTTTCGTTAAAATCAGTAATTTCAGAGTTAAAATCGATATCGATTCTTAATTTTTTTTCGAGCTCTTGCTCATATGTACTACCCAACCAATGTCCTTTATTTTTTATATCTTTTAATATATACACATTAGATATAATTTTGGCATGATTATATAGCAGGAAAAAAATGTGTAAAAAAATCTCTGAAGCACTTTATTATTTTTATGAATACTACTGATACTACTATATTACTGATACTAGCATATTACTAGTACTATGCATAATACTGTATATACTACTGATATTACTATATTACTAATATTAATGTATTACTAATACTACTGATACTACTGATACTACTGTATTACTGATACTAGCATAATAACAGTATTATTGATATATATTTGTATATTTTTTTATTTATAGTGAAAAAATCTCTAGCGATTAGCTACTAATATGATCATACTCTGCTTAAAACATATATTAGTTTCAGGGCTAGTTACTTATCTTCTGCAGATTATAAAGACATTATACAATACTAAGATATGAAGTTTAAACCTTTAACTCAGCTAAGTAAAAAATATAATATATCATATAATCGCTTATATCAAATTTGAAGAGATCAAGAGTTTAATAGAATTCAATGAAATAATGTAATAGTTCTCTAAGTACAAATGTTATAAATAAACAGAATGAAGCTAATTTTCATAAAAATACGATTCTAAGATTACAGCATTGGAAAATGTGATACATAATACTAAGGTCAAGCCTAGCAAATCTACTGATTCAACTTTAGAAAAAGGAGGCAATAAGGTGAAAAAGACTGGAGAAAAGAAATCAAAGTCTGTATTATTAGAGCCTAGTATTCAGATTCAATTAATCTAGGTTTCAAAGAAGAATATAAATAATGAAAATTTGGATGCATCCTATGAAAAGATGGTCAAAAATAATGCAGAGATTTTAGATGTAAAAAAGAAGCATTATTCTGAAAATAACTTGTCTATTCCCTAAGAAGACTTTCGCAAAACTCATTGATTTTCATATTGAACTCAAGAGTATTAGAAAGCTTTTTCTTAAGATCTTTTATATGAATTACTATATGCTCATAGCTTATGCATTTTTTTAATATAATATCATTCTCACTTAAGTCTTGCGAGTCTTGCAAAACTTTGTTCAGATCTACTAGATCATCACATTTAAGAGTAATATTTGCGTAATTTACTTCGAGTTTATTCTTGACTTTATGCATATTAATTGGAATAAAAACTTTCTTACCATTGCACTTTAGTCTTAATTCCCGCTTTAATGCAATTAAATCATAATTATATTTATCGAGAAGTGTGTTAAGTAAGATTAGCATTAGTTTAGAATACTTAACTACAGCAAAGTCAGCATATATAGTACATCCAGAAGTGAAATTTACCAGAACATTTCTAACAATTCCAAGTGACTCTATGAAAGTAGTAGCAATGCTTCTGAGATCATATTTTTCTTTTGTATCAATTACTAGCTTTGATCGTTTAGATATATCCTCAAATATAATCAAAAAATTAGCATCAGGATCAACTATACCTGTCAGAATCACTAGACACTTAATTTTATATTTAACAGTGATAACGTCTGTGATAGATTCTTTTCTTTGAACAAAGTCTATCTTCATAGGATCATCGATGAACTCATCATCTTCAAAATTGGCTGGTATTTTATAATTGCCATTTTGCGGGTGAAGGAGGATTGTAATAGTGCCAAACTTTTTATTAAGTATCTTCTCAATAATTTTTTCAATAATTTTTCTAAGTAAAATTGTTTATCCTGTATCAGGAATTTTGAACTTTGCTTTTCCTTTTTAGAAATAAGAACTGATGTGATCTCAGAAGAACTTCTTATTAAAGGAGATGTTTCTATATCTTTTACCTTACAAGACTTACAAGTTTTTAATTTCTTATTTTATGAAGAAGTACTAGTACTATGTGGTCTGCTCTTTCTTTACTTTTTTTTGCCTAAGATATATTAATATTAATTTCAGCATCAGCCTTAGTTTCAGACTCTGATTCAGAAGAAGAACTCTCAGAACTAAAAGAGTTATCCTTAGACTCAAATGAAGAAGTATTATTATTAAAAGAATCTGAATCTATTTGATCATCTACTTTAGCTATATGAATTCAACCACTTTTAGATTTTTTTTTCTTAGGCTTATTTTTTAATTTCTTTTTCTTTATTTTAAAAGACTTGCGAGTAGATTTATAGCTAATTTTGTGTTAAGATGACTTGATTGCATAAATCTAAGAGTCTAAAAAAAGCTTTTTTAAAGATTTTAGCAAAATAGACATCAATAACTTCTAATCTTCTTTCCAGCTCTTCATTAATATAATTATTAATAGCTGAAAAGTTTTTAAAATCAAGCAAATTTTGAGAGCAGGCCAAACATTTTGCAAATATATATAAATTGTTTAAGGTTCTACTGTTTAGAGGATTCAGAATACTCTGCAGACGTGTCTGTATCAATTGAGTTATTTGTAGTTATAGAAATGCAATTTGAGAATTTAACTTCTCAATCTCGGTCGATGGATATGATTGGGAAGGATATATATATTATTGGGATTGCAAAAGAGGATTGGTACTAGAAAGTAATTCAGCTTTATAACTCTCAATCTCTTTTAAAGATAAAAAGATTTCATCAATAGGTTTACTAAGTCCTATATGATGAATCTCTATTTGATTATCTGAAGAAAGTTCTTCAATAAATCTACGGCAAAATTTATTATCTTCCATATTAGCATGTCTTGCAATCTTTTTGAGTTTAGTATAATAAGAACCTATAGAATCACTTTCTTGCACTATTATACCAAATAATGCTTATTGATACTGTTACCTAACTATAGAATAATTTCTCTTAAAGTAATCAATTAATTGCCTGAGAGTAATATCAGCTAATACAACTATTCTATTTGGCAAATTTGCATTTGGTGTACACACAACTTTAGATGTTAACTTATCTCCTGCTAGCATCCAATCTTTATTGAAAACTGTATATCTGGGAATTACTAAAGCATCAGTACCAATGTTGGCCATTATAAGTTGTACATTAAGTCCAGCTGGTATCATAAGAGATAAATATCCTACGATTTGTGCTTATTCATCACCTTATAATTATGTCAAAATACGATTTATAGTAGAGATAATATTAGATAATTTCTAATTTTTATCTGTTATCTCTCTTTCAAGCCATTCATCTACTTTACCTTTTAAGTATGACTTAAAAAAGCCTAACATGCTGATCTTATCTGCATTATTTGCTAAATTGTTTCCAGAAGTAGTTAAATACTTTCTGAATTCATTGATCAAATAGTCAATATTTTCATCGTAATTTCTACTAAAACTTAGTGGTATATATCCTACTATTCCTATATATTGTATATTAGGTGGGTTATTCTGTAATGCTAAAATTTGTTGCAAATTTAAAATATTTTGATCGTGAGCTTAAACTTGATTCTGCAAATTCCTATATTGTCCCTTTCAATTTTACGCCTGATGAATGCAACTTGTATGTCTTCTTCTCTAGTATTCTGTATCATTATTATAGCATATTATTAATCTATGTATAGTTTTTTTATGCTTAGCAATTTAAGTATTCTTACATTGAATTAATAGTCGGTAGACAAAATTTTCACATAACAATTCACCAATATGCTTTTACCTATTTTAAGTCAATTACCAATACTCTTTATGTACTTCTATTTTATTATTTAAAGCATCTGTATGTATCTGCATAATTCTTTCAGCATGAGTTTGGAATTCATTTAACAAATGTTGTAACTATAAATTCTAATTTCTACTATCATTTAACTAGTTTCTAAGATTATCTACTCACTGAATGAAATCATGTAATAAGTTCTGATATTGATTCCTCTCAGTTGTAATATTTTGTAAAGTAACCTGAATAGTATTTAATTAGCCTTTAATACCATCTATAATATTAGCAGGATTCTGCATAGGAGTTCCAACTCCCCTAATGTGATTTTAATTTGTTCTATTAACATTTATGATAAGATTAGTTATTGTCATATCTAAAGTATTATTGAGATTTTTTTATCTATAAGAATCTGAATTTTTGTTTAAGATACTCTATCTTATTTTCAAGCTCTATGATTCAGCTATCTTAAATAGACCTAATCTCATCTTTGAATTTTTATTTTGTTATAAGATTCTAAGTTATTTTCGCAAATCAGATATTTCTAATTTAAATTTCTCTATTACTTTCTCATAGACTATAATAGTATTATCCTAAAATGAGATAGTTCTATAACATTGCTCAAGCTCCTTTACAAGAGATTGAATTTTTTTCTTATTATTCTTATTAATAGAAATTTCATCTCAAAGTTCATTATAAAACTCCTGATTTGTATCTAAATATGCTGAATCAAACATGCTATTATTCAGCCCTAATTTATAGTACTATTATAATATTTCTATCTTAAGAATGAGTCAACCCTAAATTGTGATAGATCTGTATGATAAGCTCTGTATAGTTTGTAAGCTTCTATATTATAATATATTTAGTTTTTATCCTAATGCAAAAAAAATACATAAAGTATGTTAGGAGAAAGAATATTCTTTTCAATTACAGAATATTATAAAATGGATAAAATATCAATATAACTATCAAATCTATCTACAACCATTATCATGTAAAGCTGAGGCAAGTTTCTTAAAAATTAAAATTCTAAATAAGATCTACCAGTGTGATATTTTGCTCTATACTTACAATGATCAGAATGGTAAAAGGAAATTTGTTTGTAAGTTTTTAGTCATAGATGTGACAATATGTTTTAAGGATGGATGTTTATTAACATTGAGAAATAGTTTAGAAATCTGAAATACAGTCAAAGAAATATATAAGGATTCTTTTAATTCTCTCACATGGTTGAAGTTATTGATGACTGATGGTGATGCTTCATTCTGAAATGCATTTGTATGAGGGATGCAATAGTACAGTGTTACAATACGTGTTGTTGACCTTTATAGTTTTGAGAGCTTAGCTTTGATTAAAGTATTCAAGAAAAATTTAGCAAGATTAATATATAAGGTTCAATACATCATAGAAGAATAATTATCTGAAAGAAAACGATCAAGATTATGAAAAAAAATACTCAAGAAATACATTAACTATATAGATAATAGTAAAACTCGCCTTATCAGAATGACGCTAGCTTATGCTATGACTTTAGAAGAAGTTGAATCAAAATCTTCTAGTAAAGCTAAGTGAGCAATTGGAAGTCACGAAGAGATAAAGCTAAAGAAGGGTATAGTAGTTAAATATTTATTGAAACTGGATGAGTTAGAAGATGATCATAGGCATCAGGCAACTGATTCATATTAGTCATTATGGATTTATAAGATTAAAAGAGTTGTTATCAGAAGAAATCCACTACAACCAGTTTTATATTATCTCAAGGATGAGCTCATTAAATTAACTGCTCATCTGATGAAACGAAATCCAAAAAGGCCCTTTAAATATGAGGAGTTTCAAGTAATTAAGAAACCTGATAAGATTAAATATCCACCTAATGAATTTATATGAAAATATCATTCTACTGCATTTGTTCATTATATTCAAGTTTAAAGATGGTATCTCAATTAGTTATAACAGATGACAAATAAGCATCACAATGTTGCAACGAATTGCAACATTATTAAAATTTAAGTTATAACAGGTGATAAATAAGCATCACAATGTTGCAATGCCATCTTTATTCAAGTTATTAATGATGAATTGACTAAAGCCTATCAATATACTGAAAAACGTGGTAGTCGATGTCTAGAAAAGATCAGGCAGTTAAATAATCATGATGTGTATCTTTAGTCTTGTGAAAATAGTGCATATTAATGGAAGTATCCATTAAAATATATTATGAAAAAATTCGAATAGTGTTCACTATACTATCATATTAGAGAAAGAAATTGCCAATACATTTTTGAGAATCTGTTAGGCAAGAAATTTCTATTACACAGGCTAATTTTTTTGGATGGAATATAACTCGATAAATATAATAAAGAATTGCGTCTTGCATTCAAATATTAGGGTCCTCAACACTATCATCACAATAGTTTGTATTACTAGAATAGTGAAAATTTAAATTCATAAAAGTTGCGTGATCAGAAGAAGCAGGATATATATAAGGATCAAGGTATATGCCTTATTGAAGTATCTCATACTGCAGATTTATATCTGTTCATTAGACATACACTAATCGAGAAAGGATTCTTAGATAAAGTGAAGGAATAAAAAGAAAGGATTAATAAATCAGTTTGATATTTTTTAGTATATCATTATTAATAGTTAGCTTAATATGAAAATAAAAAAACTTGAGCCAGTTGATAGGCTTATATACTATATTATAAGATTAAAGATACTAAAAAAAAATAATAGTCATTTAAGTATTCCCCAATGGCCTTTTACCCTTTTGATTTATAGTTATACTAATTTAGGGAAAACTAATAAAGTTCTTAATCTTATGCTCAGAAATAAGCTTTATTGAATGTTTAATGGGAAAAAAGAAGGAACGCATTATATCAAATGTGATGATTTACTCTTGATTGGCCACAATCTTAAAGGGCTGAAATATATGTACCTCAAATTGACATATTAGATAATTGCAAATAGCCTGAAACTATATTGTAAAAATATTACATTCTGGACTATAAAGCCCAATAAATCCCTAAGGTGAATTCATTTTTTTTTAAATAGAAATATAGCGACTATATTTGAAAATGTATGTGTTGATCTAAAAAAAGTGCAGAAGAAAATTATCCTTATTTTGTTAAAAGGTGTCATTATAATATCAGCTCAATATATATATCTTAGAGTTACTTTGACTGTTTGGGAATAGTATGAAAAAATCTCATACACGTCTACCTATTTAATGAGTCATACACTATGGATGAACTAGTTCAAATTGTACATCAATATGCTAATGACTGGTATAATGTGATTAAAATTATTGACAAGCATTTATATGAGCAAAAATTCATTGTTTTCGATCTAACTATATCTTGTGAACATTCACACAGAATACATCTCAGCTAAGATATACCTTTCACTAATGAATAGAATTTTCTTAGGTACTAAGGACGAAATGTATATTTTTTTTTAGTTTTTAGATTATGTTCAGATTTACTACGCTTCTTCACCTATAATTTTCTTTTATGAGTATTAAAATATATTTCCAGTTCTATAGTTACATCATTATGCTTTATTTTAAAAGAATCTGATCAACAAGAGCGATAATTTTTCTATATTTAACAGAAATAATATCCTTCAGATTCTGGCATCTATTCTCTAATAGGTCAATGAACTTTTCAGCTGATGCAATAGCTTTTTTTGTATCAGGAATTATACTTTTAAAGAAAGCTATTGAATTTGATAATTG